GTAATCTCGGCCAAATACACAGCACGTTCTGGATCACTCTGCACCAGGCGCTGCTGGATCCCTCGGCCACACTTATCCTGTTGCCTAGCAGTTTTCTATCACTCTTGAAATGCCTCAAGAATACAAAACATCAATGAATAGAAAGAAGTCAGCATTACCGTTTTGATCCGTTTGTTTGCCATTTGTCTTTTTCGCATTCATAGGTCAGCTGGTGCGTATGCTGCTGATCACACAGGTGACACGTTACCTAGACTTCAAAGTGATCGAGGGCAGCTTTGTCTACAAAAAGGGCAGCATCTACAAAGTGCCCTCCACTGAGACGGAAGCTCTGGCATCGAGTAAGTGACATTTGTACGGTTCTGATGATCTAAAGTTAAGAACAAATAAGATTTAAGGCCCCATACTTTGCAAATGCAGCAGAGATTTTTCTTCTGGGATTTCTTCTTTTTTTTTCTGTTGGACTGCCAAAAGGATCCCATTGAAACCGGTGATTTTAAGCCAGCTCTTGCCATTTTTGTATTCAATGTTCATCCGATGGTCAGTGAACAGGCTGTGACGGTCCATGGTCCTGCCATCTGAGGCCGAGACTATAGCCAACTAGGCTGGAGTGTTTTATTATCTGAACCAAACCACCATGGCCTGATTGGATGACATGGTGTTAATATAAGTGCAAGAGAAATTACAGTGAAGTGCTTATTGTGGGTGTCTCGCCCTACTTCCCTTTTCATTAATTGTATACCATGATGCTATTGTAGCATGTACAACAATTCTGTAGTTCCTCTTAAATTTTGCAAAGTAAGTGAGAGATGCTAGCATGTTTTTCATCCACCCAAACATAGTGTGTGCTGTCATGGAGCTGATGGAGAAAATTTGAATTTTTTAATAAAATATTTTAACACGTATTAATTCTCTCAGGCCTCATGGGGCTTTTCGAGAAAAGACGATTCAGGAAGTTCCTCGTGTTCGTTGCCAACTTCGATGAAAACGACCCAAAGACCTTGGAGGGAGTTGACCCTAAAAAGACCACCATGCGAGATGTGTACAAAAAGTTCGACCTCGGACAGGATGTCGTCGACTTCACTGGCCACGCTCTCGCACTCTACCGCACAGACGAGTGAGTCGAAAACTCATCTTACTTTTTGCCGAAAGTTCACTTACAACACTGAGAGAACCTTGCAGGCTTGTTTGTCCCTTGAAGTTAAAGCTGTGGTGTTTGTGCTTCCTATCTGTCCAGATACCTGGATCAGCCCTGCATGGAGACGATAAACAGGATTAAGTTGTACAGTGAGTCTTTGGCGAGGTACGGAAAGAGTCCATATCTGTACCCTCTCTATGGCCTGGGAGAGCTGCCCCAAGGTTTCGCCAGGTGAGTTTCCACAACTACTTATTCTGCCACTGATATTTTCACTCATTTCATTAATAGTTTTACAGCATTGTAAATGTGTCTGTGTGTAGTGTGCTTAGATTACAGTGCTCTGTAAGTGCACTAGTAGTTTATTTTTGTCACTCACAGATTAAGTGCCATTTATGGAGGAACCTACATGCTGAACAAACCCATTGAGGAAATTGTTGTAGAGAACGGCAAAGTGGTGGGCGTCAAATCCGAGGGAGAGGTGAGTCTGTTGCAAGTTGTGTGAAATCTGATTTAACTTTAAAATGTGCTTTGACTTAATGTTGTTTGTTCCTCACGGTCAGATCGCTCGCTGCAAGCAGCTGATTTGCGACCCCAGCTATGTCATGGACCGAGTCAACAAGGTGGGTCAGGTGATGCGGGTCATCTGCATCATGAGCCACCCCATCAAGAACACCAGCGATGCCAACTCCTGCCAGATCATCATCCCTCAGAACCAGGTCAACAGGAAGCACGGTTAGTCTGACAGGAAGCCACAGTGCTCTAGTTGTGTGGGCTCTTATTCACAAACAGATTTTAATATCACATTATATTATATTTTGTTGTTTAGAGTTAGAAAGTTTGTCGAAAGGAACCAAAATTTCACTAGGCAATAATAAATTTCTTTGAATTTTCTGTATTTTTCAAAGCAATTCTATTTTCACAATAAAAAATATGCTGTTGTGAACAGTCATTTAGTTTAAAAGTTACATTTATTAAGAAATTACTGAATTTAAAGTTATGCCATGTAGCGTTCAAAAATTTCTTAAGTAAAAATGATTTTTTTTTTTTTTTTTTTTTTAAACAAAGAATGAAGTAACTGGATTTATAAAAGGACTAATGCACTTTTTCTTAAAATAAATTAATTGAAAATAAATTGATAAATGTATCAAATGCATAAAAATACATAGTAAAGACATTTCAAATAAATGCTATAATTTTTCTATTATAAGAAATGTTTCTTAAGCAGCAAATCAGCACTTTAGAATGATTTATGCAGGATCATTACTCTGAAGGAGTAATGATGCTGAAAATTCTGCTTTGTCAGCACATGAATCAATTACATTTTAACATGTATTTGAAATTGACAAGTTATTTTAAATTGTAATAATATTTCCCAAATTTACTGTTTTTGATCAAATGCCGTCTTGGTGAGAATAAAAATGACTAACGTCAAACATTCAACAATACATTATTGTGCAATAAATTCTTCTTTTAGATATCTATGTGTGCATGATCTCTTACGCACACAACGTGGCAGCCCAGGGTAAATACGTAGCCATCGTCAGCACCACTGTGGAGACCAACGACCCTGAGAAAGAGATCAAACCAGCCCTGGACCTTTTGGAACCAGTTGAGCAGAAGTACGTTTGCTTGAGTCTGCATGCGCTCACTGACATCTAAAGCTTACTCTGATGTAAAAGCAATCAGGTCAAAAAAATAATTTTGCTGTATGTGATCTTTTTGCAGGTTTGTGAGCATTAGTGATCAGTATGCACCAACTGACTTGGGATCTGACAGCCAGGTAAGTGTTTACATTGTGCTCACTCGATAGACGAATAGTGATTACAGTACTTTGAAGATACATTTGTGTTTATCTGCACCCAGGTCTTCATCTCTCGCTCCTACGATGCTACGACTCACTTCGAGACGACCTGCGACGATATCAAAGACATCTACAAGCGAATGACGGGCACAGAGTTTGACTTTGCTGAAATGGAGCGCAAGAAGAATGACATCTTTGGTGACGCTGCTGACCAGTAAACTAGCTCCAGCTGCTCTTGAATATCAGATATTCAGATTATCATAATCTTAATGTTAAAAAAAAAAAGAAAAGAAAAAAATGGCAACCAAATTGGGCGAGCTGGCTATACAAGTGTATGTTTTGCCCATAATGGAATTTCATGTAAACCGTTATACAAATTTAGCATTTTCGGGGGGAGAGGGGGAGAAGGTTCTGCCAGTCTGCTTTTTATAATCAGGAAACAAGATCCATTTTGCACTGATTGTTTATCAATGCCCTGTATTTAGATTCCATCATGTGATCTTTATCTCAACCTGCTTCGACATGGGATATGAAAAGTCCAAAGATGCCAAATTATCAGATGTATTCAAGTGATGAAGAAATGCATATTTTTAAAATGTATTGGTGTTGGCTGTAAAGAAGATAACCTTAAAGCAGAGGGGGATCGGGTTTGCAAAATTGCGAATTGATCTGTTTCGAGTTTGGTCCGGTTTAACAGCACGTTTTTATTTTTAAAAGAATCTATTTACTTCTGAGACAACTTCCAGGGATTATTCATCATTCTATTTTCCTACAAATTACAACTGGTGCTTATACTAGTATCCTGAGTTGGTTATATTTCTCCAATTTCCTGTTTACAGATCGAAGGGAAGTATCAAGCACACAAAGTTTAGATAATCTTTTATGTAATCCGTGCCCAACCACACAGTATTCATTTTGCAATATGCTCATGTGATTTGACATAACTGACCCCCCTATTAGCTGTAAATTGTGCTACTTGTTGGAAGGCCCGGGTTTTCTTTCAGCTTTGCCTTTCATCTCTTTTCTGATGGGTTATCCGTGATTCTAAGGCCACTACACGGAGGTTATCACACATCAGCAGGAAAAGCTGCTTAACTGTAAGTCTGGAATCTGCTTGTCTAGTGTGTGTTAGGGGGCTCTCCTTCTCCCTCACTTCAGAGCAGAGAGAGGAGCAGTGCCAGTGTCGGCTGAGTTCTTCTCAACGGCTCTGACATGTTAGCAAGGACCAAAATGTCTATGGCAGTATTGACATGACCGGGGCCCTGTGCAAAATGTCACCAATGTTTTAAAAACAAAAAACAAATGCTCAACTGATGGGGCTCAAATGATTTCTGTACTGCGAAGTAAAAATGTTAACTTGTGGAAAACTGACTGTGTTTTTATTTTGTTACCAAATACATAATGAAACAAAATACATAATATCACTAAATCCATTATATTCATTCATAGTTTTATTTTTATAAAAATGTTAAAGATTAATGGTAGACCATATTTCAAAAGCAAAAGAATAATATGAAATGTAAGGGTTTTTATGAGCCTTTTTTCTTGTATTAACATTAAAGACATTGCAGCAGGTTTATCTTTTATTGGAAATGTATTAAATATGTGTGCTAGTGCTTTCATATAAAAGTTCTTTTTTTGATAGTCAAAAAGTATTAATGGCGAGTTTATGCTATTGTATACGAGTAAGGGGAACCCGTGGCTGAACTTCATCTCCCAGCATTCTTTGCCTATTTGCCGTATTCGATCCGTAGTGTCGCAAATCATAACAAACCACAGAGGCGGCTTCTCTAAATATAGAACCAGTTTTACCTTGTCAGCATGTTGTTCGCGTGCTTTATAAATAATATTTGTTGAATTTCAGGTAAGATTATCCAATTATGGAAATTACCGCTGCCAGATCAACGTTTTATGGTGACATTGGCGAGTATTTTGTCATTATAATATTGCATTTGACACATAACAGACTCCCTATCCTTGCTTAACATTTTTGTGTAATAGAGTGTGGGAAGTTATATTTACTATAAGATCTATTGACACGCCTAAAAGGGAAATAAATGAAAACGAAGTGCATTTCTAGGTCACTGGGCTGACCGTACGCCGGTACACGAGGCTGCGTCTCTGGGTCGAGTTCTGCAGTTAAAGCAGCTGATAGAAGCAGGAGCATCAGTTAATATCGTAACTGTGGATAACTTCACACCTTTGCACGATGCCTGCATCCAAGCCCATCCAAACTGTGTTCAAATTCTGCTGGAGGCAGGAGCTCAGGTGGGTTGAGCTCCAATTTCCTGAAAACGTAAAAGATAAATCAATACAGCTGTTTGTTTGTTTAAATCGTATTTAATGATTAAATTAAAAAAAAAAAAATTTAACAAATAGTCATGTTAGAAAACACCTAATATCACTCAAATTTATTTATATTCACTAACTTTTTATAGATAAACCAGGTGTATTTTAATTAACGCATATATCTTGCCATGCCCTTATTTGGAAAAACGATTAAACAATTTAAAAAGCTTCCTTTTATTTATTTATTCATTTATTTATTTGAATTCTAAAAATGCTAAAGGTTTTCTTTTAGTGATAAGGTTACATTTATAGGAATTTTTTTTTTTTTTTTTTTTATAATAATAATAACAAAAAAGTCTAGCATTTAGCCTCATAAAAAGCATGTGTGTGTAGGTGGATGTGCGCACCATCCATGGAAGTACTCCTCTCTGTCACGCCTGCGCTGCTGGCAGCATAGAAAGTGTCAAGCTACTGGTAGATCACGGAGCGTCGGTCAACCCTTCCCTGACTGCCCTCACGGCTTCCCCCCTCCATGAGGCCTGTATTCGAGGTGAGACAGCCAGGATGAGGATTGCTTTGTGTTTAGACTTGTGTGTTTTGTCATGATGGTTATGGAGAATGTATCTCTGTGCAGGTAACCCAGACTGTGTGAAGCTTATGATAGCTAAGGGAGCGCTGCTGGAGGCCTTTGACATTTATTTTGGGACGCCATTACATGCTGCCTGTGCTAAAGCTCACTTTGACTGTGCCCTACTGCTGCTCAATGCAGGTTAGGCACATTTTTGTTGTTTTATTTTATTTTGCACTATTTTAGATCATTCTGCATGGTTATTTTTTCAAACTCTTAAAGGTGCAAAAGTGAATGCCACCAAGTTCCATGAGACGGCACTGCATCATGCGGCGAGAGCCGAGAGAGAGGACCTGGTGGAGCTGCTGGTGGAGTTCGGTGGAGATGTCAACATAAGCGATAATATGGGTCACATACCTAGAGACTACACAAAACACGAATCTCCTGCTAATCTCTGTCTGCTGCACTATGAGAGTATGTTAAAATCTGCATATGCGCTATATGATTGTTTATATCGTATTGTTAATCTGCTGTTCTCTGTGTTTCCGCAGGTAACCCTCTGTCTCTGCAGCAGCTGTGCCGTATCGTCTTGAGGACTGTGTTGGGCACCAGAGCTCTAGAGCTGATCACCAAACTGGACATTTCACAGCGCATCATTGATTACCTCACTTATAAATCATAAATATGTTCCCCAGAAGACCCTTTTTGTCTTTCTTTTTTTAAAGCCTATAATGGACTGTTGTTTGTAAAGTCTTAAGTTCGTGAGCTGAGTGACGCATTTAACTTTGTGTGTGTGTGTAATTGTGTTAATAATGATGAATGTGCTACATTGCCTTGAAATATTTTGCAATGTAAATGTACTATTAATATAGTCATATTGCCTTTGGCTATCAACCAGGCCCCTTGAAAGTGGATCCCATGAAAACTTTTAGCTATTAATTTCTAAAAAAAAAATGTCTGTCTATTAAGCATTGTTAATGTTCTTATTGTAAAGTGTTATCTGGTATGCCATGCCCCTTGGTCTGTAAAGGTTAAAAACTCAATGTTCTGATGAACTGACATGATACATTTGTGTCCAAATACTTTTGTGGGCCTCTCTACATTTACAATGAACTACAACTCCCAGCATTCACAGTAAAACGTCACAGCAAGTGCCAAAACAGAACAGACCACGTGATGTGTGTGCCGCATTTCTTAACAGCATATTCTTGCTTTAATTTGTTGGCTAGCGAACTGTTAAGTTTAAATTTTACTGTCTACCAGTGTACTAAAGCAGAGATGGAAGTGGAAACAGCACGACCTTATTTTTTCGGTGACATCGGTAAGTCCACGAGGAAAGCGTGTATGCCGCAACCATACTGCGTGCCGTACTGTTGACAGTTATCATATTTATTTTACACCGTGTTGTTGTTATTAATGTCGGCAACTTTTTTTTATTTATATATATATATAATGTATATACAGTAAGAAATTAAGGAATTAATATCTTGATTATTGAGCCATGTCACATCACTTTGCCTGTCATGATTTTTTTTACATGAAGGTGTTTTCTCCATATATGACCAATGCTTAATATTTAAGTTTTAGCACATAAACTAAAATCAGTACCATAACAATATATCATCCATCAATAGAAAATGAGAGTTGAAGTAATCTGTTGAGTGACTTGTGACTCTTGTGGTTACAGTTTTAGTTGATGCATGTGTGTGGATCTCTAGGTTTCTGGGCAGAGAGGACAGAGGTTCATAAGGCTGCGTATCAAGGTCAGGTGTCAGTGCTGCAGAGTTTGATTCAGAGTGGAGCTTCAGTGAATATTGTGGCTGTGGACTCCATCACTCCCCTCCACGAGGCAGCTGCACGCGGACAGACACAGTGTGTGAGATTGCTGCTGGACGCAGGGGCTCAGGTTGGCACCACCAGGCACATACAGTTCTTAAAGAAGCCTGGGAGACAAACAACGAATGTATTGTAAGTACTGCCATCTGAAAGGTTCCCTCTGTCTGGGGTTGTGTTGCAGGTTGATGCAAGGAATGTGGACGGGAGCACTCCTCTATGTGAGGCTTGCTCTATCGGGAACTTCGAGTGTGTGAGGCTTCTTTTGGAGTATGGCGCAAAAATCAACCCCACCCTTACCTCACGTACCACCTCCCCTCTACATGAGGCCTGCATAGGAGGTGTGGTGGTTTGGTTTGAATTGTAGTGTATTTCAAGTTTATTTTATTTATATTTTATTTTAAAGTGTACAGTTCTGACTATCAAAAACATTTTTTGTATTAGATTTTGACTTTTTTTTTCTGTAGTATTACTGCAGAATCTGTCAGGAAATTTTACAAAGTCATTGAGTAAGAATTATTTTGTCGATTTCTTTTATTTTTTATTTTAAAAAAATATAATTATCACAAAAAAAAAACATTTTAAATTGTGTTTTATTGACCTTATATATAATCTCTGTAGTATTACAGAATGTGTGTAAAGTCATTTTAAACACTACCTGTCAAACGTTTGGAATAATTTGTACTTTTAATGTATTTGAAAGTCTCATGTTAGAATGATTTCTGAAGGATAGCTTTGCCATCACAGAAATAAAGGACATTTAAAAAAGATATTAAAATATAAACAACAGTTGTTTTAAATTCTAACAATATTTCACAACCTTACTGTTTTTACTATATTTTTGATCAAATAAATACAGCCTTGGTGAGCATAAGAGACTTTAAAACATTAATTATTATTCCAAACTTAGTGTAAATTCATAGAGTAAGCATTATTTTGATAACATATATATAATATAATGATTATATATCATTTTAAATAATATATTGACCTTTTGCTATTTATGTAGTTTCAAAGAATCATTAAGATACCTTTATAAATTCACAGAGTAAGAATTGTTTTGATAAACTAAACTTTCTGAGTGAAATAATTGTCTATCCATCATATAATGTAAGAGTATTCTGTTCTTTGCAGGTAATGCTGATTGTGTGAGGTTAGTGATTGCTAAAGGAGCCAGTCTGGAGGCGTATGACCTGTACTATGGTACTCCTCTACATGTGGCGTGTGCCAAAAAACACCTGGAGTGTGTCAAGGTGCTACTGAATGCAGGTAAAACCAGATCCCACGAGCTGTGAGACCGTGAAGTGCTCTGTCATGTGTGCAAACATTGAAGAATGTGCTACTATAGAAGGTAGTTTAAATCTGAAATCACCAAAGTGAAGCTTTTCATGAACAGTGTTGAAATCTTTATGAAAAAGTCAGAAGAGCAGTCCTGTGTGGTATGTCTGTGTGCAGGTGTGCGAGTGAACGCCGCTCGGCTACACAAGACGCCTCTGCATCACGCCGCCAAGTCCAACAATGTGGACATGATTGAGCTGCTGGTGGAGTTCGGAGCCAACATTTATGCCAGAGACAAATATGATAGGAAGCCAGTCGACTACACAACCCCAGATACGCCCTCAGCGCACTGCCTTCAGCTTTATGAGAGTGAGTTCAAATCAAAACAGCTATTTTTAAGGCTATTTTATTTATTTATTACAGGGGCAGTGCATATTAATAAACATTTGTGTCTATATGCCATAGTTAGCCAGAAGGCTATTTTTCATCTGCAGTCCCTAGACAGATGGTAAAAGTCACCCTAAAAGAGAGTAAAATTACATATTTACATAACAATATAAACATGACAATACATTTAGTAAGAAATACTATTAAGTTCAAATGTACAATCGAAACACAGCAAAAGCAAACCAACAATCACACAAACATCAGACAAAAACATGACACACATTTTGAAGCTTCAGGTCTGTTGTGATTGGTTGACCACCTACAGCATGTGTCGGAAACGAAACGCCCATTACCATATCTGATTTTCAGCTCCTGAAGCTGTGATACAAACAGTAACAATGGCATCCTTGTTCATCCAATAAAGACCATACCCGGGCATTATGCAAATATGTTGCAAACATACTTGGGTTCAAGCAGTAAATAAGACTGGAATTACTGTTAACTCGTTTCAGGCAGTTCAGAATAGGTTCTTTCTTTTGAGAGACAATAACTCCATTTACCATTTAAATTGTCTCCATTTGAAACTTCTGCAGACCTTTTACTTTCACAAACAGCTATATTACACACTACATGAAAGGAAATATCTGAAAAAGCATAATAGGGGCACATCAAATTGCATTTTGAAATGGATAACATTCGTCGTAGGATATGTTATATGGTTTACATTCATTCCTTTATAAGATAGGCTGACTGAATATGCAGGATTGGAAAAAAAAAAGAATAAATATGGAAATAAAATGTATACATTTATAAAAAAAAAATTAAAAAGTTTTGACATAAAATGTAATATTCTGCTCTATTCTGGTCACTACATAATATATGGGATTTTTTAATGGGATTTTTTTCAAAGGCAAAATAAAACCAGTAGTGAAAGTGACCAGCAGATGGTGCTCATGGCTTAATATAAAAGCAAAAACTGCCTTTGTGTTGCATGAGAAATCAAATCAAAGTTTATTAGTTTGGTATGTTCTCTATGCTTTCACTGATCTTTAAAATGTTCCTAAAAATAAAATGTTATGTTAATGTTAATGTTAAGTGTTGTGGATACAGTGATATGCTGGTGCTGGTTGTATTTTACAGTGCATACAGCAGTGATTCACTGCCAGGTCTGCTGCCTTGGTGCTGCTCAGGATGTTTTTGGTGTGTGATGTAAACAAATACATGAAGTTTATGATGATGAGATTAAAAGTTGGATTCTGGTGTTGGCCTGGAATCCATCATTGGTCTCATCCGCAAGGTTCATTCGCAACCCCATCCATACACAACATGCCAGTGCCCCGCTTCAGAATGTAAACCACATTAATGAGAATCCGTGGCCTAGGAGCATATAAATATTTTCCTGGCCACTTAGAGACTGAAAAAAAAAAAATTGAGTATGCAAACATTCAGAAATTATATGACAGGAGGTCCTAAACTTGAATGCTCATATTTTAAATGTTATCAAGCAAGGTTTTATCTTCTGGAATGCTTTTATTTATCTGTCCCTTTTTGTTTGGTTTCTATGGAAGGCAATGTCAACATACAGGGGATGTTATGTGGAAGTGGAAGGGTGGCCACCCAAAATTATATTCACCCAAAAAGGGTCTATCATTATTTACTCACACTAATGATGTTCAAAACCTTCTTCATGTGTCAATGAATGGTATTGCATTGAAATGTTATTGATTTAAGTGTTTAATGTTGCATTGCATTGTGTGTTTTTGCAGGTAACCCTCTTTCTCTGCAGCAGCTGAGCCGTATCACCCTGAGGACCGTCCTGGGCACTAAAGCTGTGGACGTGGTGACCAAACTGGATATTCCCAACCGTATTATCCGTTATCTCTTATACCAATGAACTCCTTCCGTAGAGGTCCACAGATGCAGTGGAAATATGGACTTTTTACCTCAAATGTACAAAAACTTGAAACATTGAGATCTCTCCAACAACAAATATGAGTTATATCAGTACTGTCGAGCATTAAAGGTGAAGTGTGTAACTTTTTTCAATGTTAAAGACACCACGAAATCAAAAGTAACAATTCATGTTTTAGCAATATTTATTATAAAGGATTTATCCGTGCACAACATTTGTTTAGAATTCACGTGCCCTCATAATCTTTAATCAAAATAACTTCCTCTCCCTCTGAAAGCGACGTCTCTTCTCTGATGACATTTTTTTCAGCGCGAAGGCGGGGCAACCTGTCACTCACATGAGATCGACCAATAGCAAACCACAACCATTCAACGATCCAATCAATTTGCGATGGACAAATTCAAGTCCTGCTCTACATTTTTTCTTGTTCGTGAAGCCATTTCACGTCACAATAGGGAAGAAAAGACTATCGCAACTTTCATGCAGTCTTTAAAAATGTGTCCTAATCATTATTCTTACAATTTTGTACAGTGCAACTATTGGTACAGAAATTACACACTTCACCTTTAAAAGAATAGTTCACTCAAAAATAAAAATTCTGTCATTATTAACTTACTTTCATGTCGTTCCAAAACGGTATGACTTTATTTCTTCATGTTTCTCTTTTACTTTTTTTCTTAACTTTTTTGTCCATACAATGAGAGTCAGTGGGGTACAAAATAACCTTTGGTCCCCATTGACTTTCATTATACGGAGAGATGAAAACAAGAAATTTTAAACAATATCTTCTTAGGGAGTAAATGATGACAGAATTTTCATTTTTGGGTGGACTGTCCTTTTGAATTAACAGAAGCACAGCGGATTACAGTAAATAGGGAGCACTTCATTATAGCACTTCTCATCACAGCACTCTGGCTTTGGCTGTAAAATATGTTGTCTTATTGTGTGTGAGGTCAATTTAGGACTGATGTAAACCATTAAATGCATGCAAGATATTGCCAGAGAGAAAGAGCAGGAGACAAAGACAGAAAAAGAGGAAACACTTAATCTGGCAGCTGTCTACATTCAGGAACTCCTCTGACCACTAAATGAAGTCCAGGGAAACAGCAGCACATTAGTCACTATGCTTTGCTGGATTGCTGGATAGTAGCGTGTGACTATCCTCATGCTCTTATTAGAGATTCATTATAGGGGAACACAACGGCTTGAACAAAGTGTTATTGCACAGGCCTGAGGGAAGCATGGGCACTCATATTATGACATGAGCAGCTTGATTAATACCACCGCTCTGCCACATTCGTTGTCTGTGTTCCGCTATAGTGACGCCACGGTGACACTGACAGAAACCAGTTTAAGGCGTGTTGGATTTTAGTACCGTTGTATTGGTACACCGGTCGTAATATTTCAGAATTCCTCTAAAGGATTTGCTATTATCTGTATATGTTTCTTATTCTTAATTGCTGTTCTTACAGGTCAGATTTTGTCTGAAGTGAGGAAAAGATATTAAACATGAAACAACTTTTATTGAAGTGCCATAATGTAACATATTTTTGAGTTAATCAGAATATGCAGGAAAATGCAGTAGGTGGGACTTGATATGATCCATCAGGATTTGAATGGATCATGAAATGTAACGTTTTTTGTTATTAATAGTATATTTCCTGAATTTGGATACATCACAAAGAAATTAAGTATATTTCAGAGGTAAACAAAGTAATATATTCATGGAAGGTTATGACGACAATCTTGCATTTACTTCACATGCACTTATGAATTGCATATGCAGATAGATTGCTGCATGTACACTATCGTTTAAAAGTTTGGGGTCTGTAATGTTTTGCTTTTGAAAGAAGTTACATAAATTACAGTAATTAATACTTAAATTCAGCAAGGATGCATTCAAATTGATCAAAAGTGACAGTAAAGACATAATGTTACAAACCATTTATTTTTCAAATAAATCCTGTTCTTTTGAACTTTCTATTCATTTGAGAATCCTGAATACAAAAATATTAGGCAGCACAACTGTTTTTGAACATTGATAATAATCAGAAATGTTTCTTGAGCAGCAAATCAGCTTATTAGAATGATTTCTGAAGGATCATGTGACACTGAAGACTGGAACAATGATGCTGAAAATTCAGCTTTGCCAACATTTTAAAATATATTAATATACAATTGTAATAGTATTTCACAATGTTACTGTTTTACTGTATTTTTGATCAAATAAATGCATCCTTGGTGAGCATAAGAGACTTCTTTCAAAAACATTCAATACAAATCTTACTGACCCAAACGTTTGAACAGTAGTGCATATATACTGTATACACGAAAGTAAGTCTGATTTCATGGTGTCACTATGAGAGAATTTAATTTGTCATTAACAAACGGTTTTAATTTCAGCCAAAGTAATTCGGTGATTTGTTCCATTTATTTCTCGCTCAGCTGCTCCTTCCCTTAATTCATTTAAAGGGTGTCAGGATTAGTTTTGTGAGTTTGACCCACAGTTCTCCCAAGTTATCTTTATCCATCTGATCCGTTCACATCCCACGTTTCTCCTCCGGCCTCTTATAAAGTACAGAATGTTCTATAAATAGCAGCCAGACCAGAAATAGATCAAGGTCCAAGCACTGAGTTCCTCTTCCCGAGCTGTCCTGGAGCAGAGCGGGATGGAGGGATGGCAGGAATGTTGTTATTAGAGCGCTTACCCTTTTCTGATATTAAGCTTACAGAAACAGGACAGCTGCTATCAAAAGAATGCTGCTCTTTTTCTTCTTATCCGACTCTCATCTTAAAACAGCCTTTAAAGGATTGTTGTTTTATCTTCACCAGTCTTAATTGTTTGAAGCAGATTGTGGAATTCATGGCTGTTCTGTATTAGATAACCTAGGATATCCCAACGTTGCTTGGATTTTTGGCTTTTTTTGATGGGTTATTCCATGGCATGAATACACAAGCTTAAAATATTTGGTGCTACAAGGTTTTAATACTCTTGCTGATTATGATTATTTAAGTTGTGAAGTAAATATTTACAGGAAGTTTTTTTTTTCCAGTTGTCTTCCATCAGGATATTCAGTAATAAGCCATACAATAATTATCATTCTTCCTCATTGAGAAAACAACAAACAAGCATACTGTTGTAGTCCTATTTGAATTCTTCCTATGATTTTTGGCCCTCATGAATATCTATAATTACTTCACAGGCCTATTTATGAATTGCATACAGATAAATTGCTGCTTGTACACTATACTGTTTGGGTTTGGGGATCATGTTTTGTTTTTGAAAGAAATTGCTACTTTTAATTAAGCAATAATGTATTCAATTGTTCAAAAGTGACAGTAAAAAACATCTGTAATGCTACAAAAGATTTCTATTTCAAATAAATGCTGTTCTTTTGAACCTTCTATTCAACTTTCTATGAATTTCTTTTTAAAAATAACCATTATTATTCTTCCTCATTAAGAAAACAACAGAACTGACAAGGATATTGTTTGAATCCTATTTTAATATCTGTAATTTTGGCCCTTGTGAACATCTAACCATGTTTTCACCTAATTCTCAGTTGCATTTCTCGTTGTTGCCACAAGGGGGCTCTGCAGCTTTTATATATGAGCCATTTGTCTGTTTTCTCTTTGTTTCTAGACAGTCTTGCTTCTTTGTGACCGAAAGTTGGCTTCTTTCTGATTAAAAGCACCTGATCACATTCTGGTGAATGTCTCACTGACTACTGACCCACACATAATTGAAAGGAGACTTCAATTTAACTGTAAGACTGTTCCTTTAACAGACTCATTATTATTGTCTTCTGCTGGTTGCTGTTGTGCTACTGCATGTTGACACTGAACCTTGTCATTCAAGAAAAATAGCACACCTGGTTACACAAGTGAGCAGCTTTTGTGCTGGAACAAAGGTCTGCTGTTCTGCCAGAGACTGGCTTCAGAAGGTTGTAAAAACAAATGTACTTGAAGAAAAAGGTTGTGACCCAAAGTTGGAAGCACATTCTGGTTCTGAGACGGTCCGCTTCTTGTCTTTAGTGGCTCCCCGGCACAAATCACCTCAGATCCACTCAGGAATTGCGTCTTAATGAGAAACAGATGTGTGTGTATGAAGCGCAGCCATGAAAGACAAGCTCAGCTGGAAAACTGCACGCTGCAGTCTTGCTTAAAGACAAAGTTATAGTTGTGTTGCATCGTTTTGTGCCCATGAAACATTTACATGACCTGGTGTTGTTACTATTCTATCACTTTATTGTATTATGGAAAACTATTCTGAATCTTCATATTGGAGTAAATTGCATGCCACATTTGTAGAAAGCCAAAAGGCCATAGGACAGAAAAGGTTGTTGCCTGGATCTTTTTTTTTTATCTTGGTTGCTTGTCATGTAGCATAAAGTGACTTACAAGTCAGCAATTGCAGACACTGCCCGCCTGGAGCAACACGGGGTTAAGTGCTTCACCCTGGGGTTTGTCTTGCCCCTATCTAAAATCAAACTTTAACCACTAGGCCACTCGTCTGTTTTTATGTACTGTCTGAACTTTTGAGACAGTAGACAAGACTCACTCAAAGTCATTGTATATGTCTAGTCAGAAAAATGTGTTTTTGTCCAGCTGAGAGTAGAAGGATAGCGTAGGATAGACTACACATATACACGTCATCTGTCTTTGTTTCCCTTTCTCCCTCTAAATGATCATACCATCTGTGCATGTGATTTTCTTTTCTTTTTTTTTAAAGGGACTCCCTCTATTGGATATTTAGGCAACACACAACCTAGTGGCCTCAGCAACTTTCCATACTAGCTCCTCTCTGTCACTATATGATATTGGCTGTTTAAACGCACTCCAATTTTTCCAAAAAGTTATTTTTAGTTTTTTAAATATATATTTTAAAATATGTAATTTTATTCATTAGCATTCACATTCATTTCAGTGGCAGTTGCTTGGCTGATTTTAACAATATATTGATTTCTAAAGCCAATAATTATTTTATTTTATTTTATTTATTTTCTTGACTTTATTTTACCATTCATTTCAATGGCTGGTTTTATAGATTGTATACCACTGATTCACATTTTAAAATTAACAATATATTGACTTGTATAATTCTTTTATTTTATTCTTTTATTTTATTTTAATGTTGTTGTTTTTTACCTCACGTTTCAATGGCTGGTTTTATTAATTGTGTGCCACTGTGCCAGTGATTCACATTTTAAAATGAATACTCTATTGACTTATAAAGCCAATAATTAATTTTTCATATCCTCAATCAACTGATAGCTCTATATAATACATAATCTTTTTTTTCCTGATATGGTGATTTGACATCACACACATTGGTTATGATGTGCAGTGCCTTTTGAAGAAAAATACTGTGACTCCATAACGTAAATCTGATTTAGCGTTTCCTCATGGCTTCAGGGGTCACAGCACATGTCATACTGAGAACAAAGGCCTCACATAGAAACATGCACATGATTTCTCTTTTGATCTTTCACTGAAAATGAATTAAACTGGTTAAAATAATTTGAGGGCAGCAATCACCTGACTGCACATTCTTATTTGATCTAAATTAAATGTACTTCATTATAATATCATTCTTTGTGTGTTGTACACCAGTTGTTTTTCACTGTGTATAACTCGATGGCTTTTGTCTCTGTTCT